ATTCTATAGTACGCGCCAGAATTCGTGCAACGTGCGGACATATGCGAAAGATTGATAATCTATCGCTAATTTGCATTGACTCAGGTTGTGATACTGATTATCATGTAGTATATTCTAAAGTTATTTCAGTCATTATAGGACGCGAGCTTTTAGTGAGCTTCGTTTGGCCCACAAGCAAAACGTATGCGCTGAAAGAAGTAACAACTTTAATAGTATGCGTTTTTTATAACTGAGTTCGACTGCTTTTGTAAATTCAACTGTATTTTAAAGGAAACGTCAACGAAAATATTATTTCTTGCACTCCTTTGGTGGAACATTACGCATTACTTAAATTTATACTTAAAGAAAGGGTATCTTTCGACTTAAAACATGTTTAAAAATTGCCTAATAATCTTGAAACCTACTGACTGCTACAATCGAAGTCCAGGTTTACAAACTGCGCACTGTGTATATCCTGTTTAAGAAAATGTACGTTTTCGCCTACAGTTTGAGGAAGAAGTCACATAGTTCGCACAAAATTTTGCAATAGGTGTGGAAAATGCTTTATACAGTAAAGCCGCATTAATAAATTGACGGTTACGATGTTTTATAAATAAAAAAACTCACTATCGTAAAAAAGCTCATAAATAGAAATTTTTCGAAAACCGAAACCTACTCTTTTTTAACTGTAAAATTTAAAGAAGGCGTAATCTGCTACTAAACGAGTATAAGAAATAATACTTTCGTGCATGCTTTTCATAAAATATATTTGAATTTATAAAGATAGTGAGAATCAATGGTAAAAACGCATACTATTTAAGTAGGTACTGTTCACAGCATAAACGTTTTGTTCGCCGTTAGGATAGCTTTCGCTTTTAAAAAAGTGCTCAATTGACGAAATATTTCTTATCTACTGACTGCTACACTTGAATTCAAGGTTTAAAAACTGCGCAATGTGTACATCCCGTCTATGTAAAAGTACGTTTTCGCCTTCAGTTTGAGGAAGAGGTCACAAAGTTGTCATAACATACTAAAATAGATGCAGAACACATTTTATGCAGTATAGGCAGCCTTGATAAATTGACGATTGTTAAAAAAAGCTCATAATTAGCAAATTTTTTTAAACCGAACGCTGCCCTATCTTTGAGTATACAATTTAAAGAAGATGCAATTTGCTATCAAACAGGCACAATAAATAATTTTTTCGTGCATGTTTTCCATAAAATATACCTGAATTTATAAAGGCAGTCAAAGTTAATGATAAAAGGGCATGCTACATAAGTAGCCATTTTTTACAATAGATAAGTTTTGCTAGTGGTCAGAACGAAGCCCGCATCCTATCATGACTGAAATGACTTCGTTATAGACTACACGATAATCAATATCACGACGTGAGTCA